ATGGGGTGGGAGACAGTGTCAAAGGCCTTGCTGAAGTCCAGAAAGACTACATCCACGGCAACACCTGCATCCAATGCTTTTGTGACCTGATCGTAAAAGGCAATCAGGTTGGTCTGACATGACCTGCCCCTAATGAAACCGTGCTGGTTGCCCTTGAGCATCATCCCCGATGCCGGCCCATCTCAGATGTGCTCCTTGATGATCTTCTCAAAGAATTTCCCCAGGATTGAGGTAAGACTGATGGGCCTATAGTTGCCCAGGTCCTCCCTCCTCCCTTTCTTAAAGATGGGGACCACATTGGCTATCTTGCAATCATCTGGCACCTGGCCCAAGCACCACGAGCGCTCGTGAAGCTGTGCCAAGGGCCCAGCAATAACCCCTGCTAGCTCCCTCAACACCCTGGGGTGGAAAGCATCTGGACCTGCTGACTTGAACACGTCCAGCCCCTCCAGAAACACTCTAACCCAGTCCTCCTCAACCTTAGGTCTTGAGGCGTTCCCCTAGAGTCCGTCTTGAAACACGGTGGGGGAGTCCCAGTCCCTGCACAAGAAAATGGAGGTGAAGAATTTGTTAAAGAGGTCTGCCTTCTCCTCTGGCACAACCACCAGATTGCCAAGAACATCTTGCAGGGGCCCCACATTTCCCAGTGCCTTCTTCATCCTCCGTATATATTTGAAAAAGGACTTTTTATTATCTTTGATCTTGGACGCCAGTCCTAGCTCTATGTCCGCCTTAGCTTTCCTAGAGTAATAGAAGCCTTCTGGGACAGGTTCCAGGAAACCCCAGGGTGAGCACAGGGAATTGAACATGAGATCAGGACCCCACCCAGCACACTAGTCTGGGAGAGATGGAGGCCTATACCCCAATGATTGCAGCAGGAAGTGTGGCAGGAGATTGAGAAAAGGCAGGATCTGGGAATCATCCGGCTGTCTTGAAGTCCGTGGTGCAGTCCAATTGTACCGGTGGTTAAACTGGATGGGTCACTTCACTTGTGTATGGACTTCAGAAAGTTAAATGACTTAGTGACCTTTGACGCCTTCCCCATGCCACATATAACCCACCTCATTGAGAGAATCAGGGAAGCCAGATACATATCAACCATCGGCCTGGTCAAAGGATACTGGCAAATCCCAATGCGAGCCACTGACTGTGCCAAAACCGCATTTGGGACCTCTTGGGGCCTGTCTGAATTTGTATGGATGCCCTTTGAGCTGAATGGCGTGGCAGCCACTTTTCAGAGGCTTATGGACACCTTACTGGCACCCCACGTGGCATATGTGGCAGCCTATATCGATGATATCATCATCTTCACCCCCGATTGGAGTCAGTACCTCACGGCCCTAAGAGCAGTCCTGGGAGAGCTTCAAACATCAGGGTTGGCTGCCGATCCAAAAAAATGCAAATTGGCAGGAACAGAAACTAAGTACTTAGGGTTTCGGGTAGGACGGGGAGCCATTCGTCCCCTGGCAGACAAGGTGGATACTATATGACAATTTCAAGAACCACACAACTGTTGACAACTCCATTCCTTCTTGGGTCTCATTAATAACTATGGGAGGTTCATACCATTTTTTGTGGGCCTTGTCGCAACCCTTACAGATGCACTCAAGGTGGGGCCAGCAGCAGTGCTAAAGAGGACACCCGAAATGCAAAGAAGCTTCAAGGAGCTCTAAAGGAGGCAATGTATTGCAACATTGTGGTACACACTTCTGATTTCTCTTCCCCTTTTATCTTGCAGATGGACACATCAGGCAGGGCCCTCGGGGCTATACAGCTGCCAAAATGGGGGGAAGTTGAGCACCTGATCGCTTTCGCAAGCTGTAAACTCAACCACACCGAAACCAGGTACACCACAATCGAAAGGGAGTGCCTGGCAATACGCTGGGTGATATAATATTTTAAATATTATTTGATGGGGTGGGAATTCCAGGTGGTGAGAGACCATGCCCCACTGCAGTGGCTAACCAAGAAACAAAGTGAAAATCCCATATCACTCTCTGGGCTCTGGCTCTACAACCATTTAAGTTCATGGTACTGCATCATCCTGGCAAGGATAATTTTGTAGCGGATTTCCTCTCTAGATGTTGTAGCTTAGTGGAGCTGGCTGAGGAGGCACACCAAGCTCATGAAGAGGAACATCAGGCCATTCAGGAAACCATACGAGGGATTCAGCTGCCACAAGATAACTTAAGGGGGGAGGTCTGTGGCAGTAAGAAGCCCCCACAGACACTGGAAGGGGGTGGGGGAACCCCATGAACCCCATGCTACCCAAACAAAGCCCCCTCCCCAGACAAACTTACCTCCCGGCACTCAATTGGAGCCGGAGCAGGTGCTACAGTCATGCAAGCCAGTGCTATGCTGGCTCTTCAATCAGCTCTTCCTGGGGCAGGGAAACCCTGGGCCAATCATGGTGGCCAGAGATGCCACCACGGGAGGATTGAAAAGCCCACTGGAACCCAGAAGCATGGGGGAGGAGGAGCACATTCTTGAGAGGCACACCTTGTGTGGGGAGGCTCCAGTGGCCGACAGGAGCCTTGAAGTTGGCTCAGGGCTGGAGTCCAGAGCAGGGGAAGCGGTGCCCCTGCATTAGACTGGGAGGGGGAAACAGTTCCATCCCCCCCCCCAGCGTCTAATTTCCAAGCAAATTCATCAGAGGCAAGGAGGGGAGGACACCAGAGAGAAAAAAACAGAAAAGAGGAGACAGAATCCTAGCCCAGCCGCAATCAAGGCTGGGATTCTAGCAGCCATAACAGCCAGGCTAGCCCATAGGAATTTACACTGATGCTGGTCCCCCAGGAAATCGGGGTCTACCGGGCATGGCTGGACAACATAGACTTCATCAATTGGTTGGTGAGTGGACAGGGGGTAGGGCAGGTGGAGCCCCGTGGAACATCGCGTCGAGACCATGGGTACCTCCATCTCCAGGGTCCCTAGGAATAGGATCACCACTGAACTCCTCCTTTTTCATCCAGTAACACCAAGTCATGGCAGGTGAGTTGAGGGAAGGGGGTGGTCCCGGTCAAGACGGATGGTACAGCACTCACCACATCATGCCTAGGTACTTCCACACAACTATTTAGGACTATGTTGAAATCATGTTGGATAAACAGGATGATCAAAAGAGACTGAGTCATCTTGCCTATCAAATGTTTAGGGGCTGGTCCTTAATTTGATTGCAATTCATGAAGACTGAGGAAAATGAAAGGGGTGTTCTGTATTATGACAAAACCACACCCTGACAACACATTTTTTTCCAGTCTTTATTTTTAAAAAGGAACACACGAGCACCACATTAAAATCCAATTTGCCTAAACTCGGGAGAAGCTTATGTTGATAACACATGTAACCTGGCTGGTACTAGTTGGAAAACACAAAAAAAGAAGTGTGATAGATATTTCTGGGCAGGCACAGAATATAACCTTCTTGCATGATTACTGTCTTTTCATGAACAGAATCTCTCAGCTAGAACAATTTGCTCTATAATAGAAAACAATCCCATCTGGAATACAATTTTAGATAATTTCTAAGCAGAATGCTTTAAAATGACATATTGAAATTTACATCATTAAAATGCATGATATAAAAACTTTTGATAATTATTTTCCCATATATTGAAATTCCTGTCATTAAAAAAAATCTTATTAGCATTTACAATAACTGTTTCTGAAAAATTATAAACAGAGCAGAAAATGAATACTGATCTGGATCTGTGAAATCAAATATCACATGACATATTAATAATACAAGAAGTTAATAGGATTTCTCTTTGTATGAGCTTTGGGAAACAAAATCTCAGAAGCTTTAATCTTTGTGAAATCACTATGGCCTCCAATGCCTTTAGTTAATGAGAATAAACAGCTTCACTTAAAAAGCTTAAATGTAGGGATGGGAGGTAGTGAGAAGGTTCTAATTTGGATATTTAAAAATACCAAATCTTGAACATTTGCACATTGAATTTTAAAAGCTTTTAGTCAAACCAAATAACATGAAAAAAGAATTACTTTCCCTCAGTAAGAGAGACATTACTAAAGACAGTAAAGAATGTCTTCATTTAGGGAAGCTACTGTAGCATAATATTAGAATTCATTAAACACTGTAATGCACTGAACAATAAACAGTTAATTCACTGATTCACTACAATATTTGTCACTATATTGTTTGTAACTATGCAATTTTGATGTTTAATTGCCGTTCCTATGTTTTGTGAGCACTTGGTCTTTAAAGTTCTAAAACACAGCTTCTGAGAGAGAGGAATCATCTTGCAATGCTCTTGGAAGAAATACAAGTTGCTGATTTCCTCCCTGATCTAAAGTAAATAAATTGAAAATGTTATACTGAAAGTACCTACATTTTACTGTTGTTTTAAAACATAATGAGTGCATTAGAAAACTGCACTAGATCACAGTATTCAGTACTTGGTTCTATGTTTAAGGCTAGGTAAAGGAGTTACACTTATTGTGCAGTAAAAGCACAGAGAAAATGCTCTACAACTGTAACTGAATAGATGGTCAGGGAACATAGAGTGGATCCCAGCCAAGGATAACTCTCGATGTGGTATCAGACCTCAGCACTGTAGATGACAGAGCTGTAATGAGTATCTTTATGAAATCCCATTGCGACTCACATTAGATCACATTCCACTGGCAATCTATGAGGCTTTGCACCACCCCACCTCAAAGGGCAGCAACTCTAGTTTTGGCCTGAACTTGCATGGTCTGCTCAAGCGCCGAGCTGGCTCTGCCCCTTGGCTCTCAATAACCCAAGGTGGCAAAGCCCCTGTTTCCAATCCCCACCCACCTGTTCCCTCTAGCCAGCTATGAGCCACTGTCTGGTATTATTGCTCAGTTTGCAGATTCAGTCTACCCCACCTGGGCATCTATAAAGATTGCCCCTTTTGACTAAGTGCTGTGCTGTTTTCTGGACACTGTATTCACACAGGGGGTTATCCAACATGTTCATCTTGTACAGTATTGTTTTGAAACATCTGTATCCCAATCTCAGTCTGTTCAGCTTGACCCATAATTCTCTGTCAAAGTTGTACCTAATGGGGAACTCATTTGTTGCTGGTATAAAATGTTGTAGGAATAGATTTCAGACCAAATTACTCTGAACCATAATTTCATTTCCACTTACCCCACTCCTTATCTAAATTTAGCATAACACACAAGGCCACAGTACTTGGCCTGCCAGACTCTCCACAGACACAGAAAACTGGCAGCAGGAGAGCTGGATTAACCTGAACAGGATTAAGGTCTGTCTTCTTATGTCAATTGGTCTAATGACCAAGAGTGAAGGGAATACATCTGTGTGTGTGTAAGTTGTACAGCCTGTTATGTAGGGCCCTGTTTAATCACAGTTTTGCGTTTTTAATTAAAATTTTAAAAAATGATTTTCACAAAAAATGCAATTTACATGTTTGCCTGAGACTCAGGGGATTGAGCCCCTGAGCTTCCTCTCAAACAGCACCCCCAGTGACAAGTCAGCAACTGGGGGGGGTGTCCCATGGTGATCCCAGAAGTGGCTGCAGCTGCTTCTGGGAGCACAACAGTGCTCCACTCCCTGGCCAGTGCTTGCAGGGGGGGCACCGGCACTCCCGCCTGCCCCCACTGCCCACTGCCTATGTGGTAAGCGCAGCCAGTCAGGAGTGCGCCCCCTATGTATGCACCTCCTATGCATTGCACTGGCCCCTCCCCTACCTGGTGCCAACAAGATGGCACCAGGTAGGGGAGGGGCTGTTTGAAAGGAAGCTCAGGGGCTCAGCCTCCTGAAGCTCAGGATTTGTGTCCCCAATACACATGCACAGAACCCAGACACCTAGGACACAAACACACACACACAGAACCCAGGCATCCAAGACAATCAGTGGTGGCTCAGCCATTCAGCTCCACTCTGGAGTCTTTCACAGCCTGGGGAGCCTGTGAGGCATGCTGGAAGGTGTGTAAAAGCCCTTCCTACCTGCTAGGCTTGGGTTCTGCAAGCAGGCGTCAAGTCTCTTCCCCTCCCCACAAACGCTAGCGTGTGTTCTTCTTCCTCCCAGCTTAATAATGGGCACTTAGAGTAAAACTCAAACCTTAAAGGTAATGTTAATTTACTTTGAATGGTGAATGGACTAAAAGCAGAAGTATTGTCATACAGACTAATACTAGTAGTTAATTTAATCCTGTCTTTGATCTGCAACAGTGAAGAGGACCAGTTGCTAGTTGCTTCTGAGTCAGGTGCAAGAATCTCTCTGATGGGCAGCTACTGCAGAACCGTCTTAATTGAAGGCATTAATTCTTTTATTGCTATTGCAATCCTTTTATTGCATGTGATTTCCTAAATTCTTTTTTCCTTGCATGTGGCCTTTTAAGGTGTGTCTACATGAGCATACATATGCCTCTTGCAGGATCTCAAACCCCTTCAAGACACTGCAAGACGCATGTGTGGGAATAAAAAAAAAAACATTCCCCGCTTTGCATATTTGCGGCGCAGGGGCAAAGTTTGCCATCTGGATATCCAGGTTTCTAAAAATACCCCAGGAGAAAAAAGCAGGGCAGGACACTGTCCTGGATCATGCCCTGAGGCAACCAGAGGCTCGGTCTTCCATAGAGATGCTTTGGTAGCCAGCCAGAATGCAACTATGACTGGCCCTTTCCCCGGTGCCGACTCACACTGCCTGCCCATGTAGAGTAGGCAGCGGTGCAGGTTTCATCAACCAGGGCCTGGGCCCCATGCCAGGTACGTAAGGGGTGAGGAGGGCTGGAGGATGGGGGAAGGGACCATTGTAGAGTCCCTGCCTGGCCTCAGCCCCCTCCCCTGCTCACTTCCCCAGCTCCCCAATCATTCCCCCAGCTTCCCCCTCACTC